TATTACAGTCGAATTATTCGAAGCGCAAAAGGATTAATATACCTAAAGGAAGGCATTCGATTATCGCGTCGTGTACCGTTCGGTCAACCGCAATCCGACTCCAATTAATCTCAATCACGCGAAACGAGGCAACGATTTTCGGTTCGAGCGTTCTTCTCGCGAGGGAAACGTCAGAAAACAGTTGAGCGAAAGAGAAGGCGGGGCGGGGTGGATGGACGCCGACAAAACGAGAAATGAAAATGTCGAGGGAAAGAGGAATCTCGGTGAGCGCGGCGCGGTGGTAGATCTTTTTGTAGGATCCTCGGCAATGGCCGTGGTATGCCGTATATAACGAAACGCCCTTACGGAGGGAGGGAGGGATGGAAGGAGAGTGACCAGGCAGGCAGTGGAAGGTGGAAAAGCGAGGAGGGTGAAGGAGGGAGGCGAGGCGTATACAGCTTTCCGCCCAGGCCACAGTGCAAATGCAGGCCTTGAATGTGTAATAAGCACTCACGTCGCAACCCTTGGCCAGACCAGCGGCCTCGTGTCTGCGTTTAGAAAGGTCCTGGCCACGCATACGCAGAGTCGCACGCGTGGATGGTGCACGCGTTCAATGCTCGACTCGTGCTGGCTCGTTCGAAATCGACGCAAGTTTGATCGCGACAACGAAGACGACGACGACGGTGGCGGCGACGATGTCGTTGGTTGCCTGGCAGGCAAACACGCGTATCGGCGAGACGCGAGCTTATGACTGATGAGGGTGAAAATGGGGTGGAAACAGGGTGAAATGGCAGGCGGAAGGGGCAAGGCTATCGCTCTCTTTTCCAAAGCTCGTGAAAGCCGTGCGTATTAATGCGCCACGTTGACGGTCTGCTCAACGAGAACCGCCTAAAAAGAGGGTATTGTGCGATCAGGAATGAGTACCTACCCTTTTCTACCTTCTTTTTTTTTACATTTCGTCTTAACTCGGGGGTTGACCGTTTGAGGGAGAGCTTTGCTTTGAATGATTTCGAAATCGTTATGTGATTTTAAACGAAATAGATTCTCTACGGGGAAGAATTTCTACTTTTCCTTATCCTTTCGTTACGCGAACAATGATTAATCTTTTGTCACTAAAATTATAATCTCTTTTGTATCATAATTGTCTTTCGTTCGTTTTAGAGATAATTCATACTGGCAAAGAATTAAACAAATAATAATCGTAAATTTTTATATTTAAGGTTTTCTCTCGAGGATTTTAGGAATTCCTGACGATTTTCTCTATTTCTCCCTTTCCCATTGTTCTACGGTAGTTTTTTCGTTATATCTTTTGTCGGATTTATCGTCTATTCGTTGGACGAAGATCGGTTTCGAAATAAAAGAAAAGTTTTTAGCGTTTGTAACCATCGTACTCTCTTTTGATCTCAAACAGAGAATGGTTTCTGCTTTGAACAAGTTGCTAGATGATGGTGCTTTTGTAGTGTAAAAAGTCTTTCGTGGAGGGTACTATTTTTTTTTTTTTTCACGTTGTTCCTTATTGCGCAGAGGAGTTAATTAGAAAACGAATTAAAAATGCTGAAATTACTTTTGACAAGGAAAAATTCATTTGATACCAAGAGAGTGACAAATTATATTGCCATAGTATCGATTACATTTAACACGCCACATCGAAGCCGCGATCGTTTTACACGCACAGATCGTGCGTGATAAACAAAAAATAAATACAAGATTAAAGAATAATATTATTTTTAACGTATATATTTCGGGTTGGGAACACGATGCCATGATATGATCGAGAAAAAAATGCACGTTCTATCACCAGAATAATGAAGGTAAATGATACGTATCGACATAAAAACTGATAGATAACAAATAGATAATATTACAATTTAACAAATAAATGTTTTTGATTGTTTAAAGATAATTATTCAGAATTTTTGTACTTTTGCTTTGTTACTGAACTTTATTATTGATCGAAATTGTTCGAAAAATCTCTAAGGGAAAAAAGGAACACTCCTCTGGGAACAACACTCAATTATTGGACACTTCTACCGAGGTATCGTTAAACAAGACATCTATATGCTGCTCCTTGAAGTGATAGCGAAGAACAACACTCCATTCCCGAACTCGCCACCAATTTCTAACTACTTCGTAAGAAACCTCGTTAACGAATTTATTTGCTATGACTTTATCAAGTTGCCAGTCTTCCTTTTAGTTTTCAACAACACTCGTGTTAAGGCTGTAACGTTAAGAATTGCTTACTTTTCAAACAGCAAAATTTCAATTTTCCAATTAGAGAAAAAAAATCTAATGTAAGAATAAAAATTGTATTGTATTGATTAATCGCAATATGAATCGTTGCTCGATCGTAAAAATTCCTTATATCCGCGCGATTGTTGTTATTTCTCAAAACAACGTAACGAATAAATATACAGTTTCTCCCGCGCCGATTGAAACTGATTTCTCTTGCGAATTCCACGCGAGCCAAGCATCGGATAACACGCATCGAGAGACGGGATCAAATTTGCAGTCACTGGCCACTGACAACCGATGCTACGCAGTTATCAAATCCCGCATACACGCGTGATTGATCTACGTGATCTTCGTTAAAATTCTAGTTGACCTATCCTGACGGGGGTGGGGAGTTGGAAAAATAAAAGGGGAGGGGAAAAAAAATCGACAAAAGTTCGGATTGAATTGTTTTTATTCCTTTGCGTTACCCCCTCCCCCCCTTTTTCTGCTCGATTCGAGAACGATTCGAAAATAATGGAGGGGAGAATCGCACACGATACGAAAAGGAGTCGAAATTGTCGAAATTTGCGCGTTACGTTTCGTTTAAACTATTTATAATTGCATATAATACGTAATGCAAGTATTAATATCACATCCCCGCGCGGAATTCGCAATTATTTTCGAGAAAGTTTCACTTTGAACATTACGCGAGGATTTCAATCATTCGGAGAGCGCCATTTCTCATCCTTTCAGAGTAGTCCTAAAAGGATCAGGTGATAAATGTACCCCATAAATATATGTAACTTACTGATGATTTGCACTTATAGAAGCGAGCAAGTGCCTTCGGTATTGTATTTAAAGCGTTTCCTAAACTCCCGTTCCCGTAAAATCATATTTACAATCATATTTTGTTTATAAAATAGCCGACGTGTTGTTTGCAGATCATTTTGCAAAAATGATGCTCTGTTGAAACTTTTAAATAAATAATTTTTCTAACATATTCTACTTTGTACAAACGATTGAATAATAAGTCATCATCATGCGACAGTTTATATAAATGAAACATTTTCGAAAGAATCTGTAGAACGTTACGAAAACAATATGCCAACAAATAAAGAGAAACGCATATCCGTCAACGAAATTCTCGTCACTCGATACAACCTTCGATTACTTACCTCTTTCGCAGAAACCGCACAACAAAATACGGAAACGATCGTAAAATATAGAACGAAGCGTCGCGTTAAACGGCCGCGCAAACTCCCGGCCCCGATCACTTTCGTTTCATGGCCTGTCGTCGGCCGTGAAATAAAATTTGCGGTCGACTCGATCCCCAGAGTCGCCAAAAACGCGAATATCAAACACGCGCCGTATTCTAACCGCAGACACGAAGAATACGCGGCGTCACACTAGCACCATGCTCTCACATTCGGTTCCCATTTCGAATATCCGGCTTAGGCAAGTGGCAACCGCAGCCTCTGCTATAATATCGGATGCGCCACTACCATCCTCATTTTCCACTCTTTCCCCTCCCTTTTCCTGCTCCTCTTCGCCCCCTTCTCATCCCCTTCTCTTTCCCTGCTCTTCTTCCCTCTTCTCTTTTTCTCTCCATCCATCTTATCCTTCGCTGTTATTATCCTATCTTTCTCTTTTTATCCCTTTCTTGATACACTTCTCTCTAATATTCATCCTCTTTTTCTCTCTCTTTTTGTATACATTTCCTTTTGACATTTCCTTTTTTCCCAACATCATCTTCCTCTTTTTCTTTTCCTTATTCTTTTCCAGTTTCGTTTTATTACCTTTTTCTTTTTCTTTCTATATATTTCAACTTCACCGCGTCTCTTCCTTTTTTATTCTTCAATATATTCACCCTTCTCCATTCTCCATTTTCGTATCATCGCGTCTCCCTTCTTTCCACGTGTTCCTCGTACACACAACGATACTCGTCCGACATATGTAAAGTTCCTCCGCGTAGTTTATTTTCCGTATCGACCCCGCTTCCGGTAGCGTCCTCCTCGAGCCCTGTCGTATGGATTACACTCGACGTCCGTTTCTTCCTCTCCTCCTTCTCCCTTACGCTCGAAACGTTACGTGAAACAGCATGCCTCTTCTCTTCCTCCCTCCTCCTCCAGCTCTTCTCTCGTGCGATCGTCATCGGAAATTTTGTACGGACGACGACATGCACGACGTTTTACGAATCTCGAACAATCGAGAGACTCCTTTGTGGAGAAATGGCGGTAAACTCGTCGTCTTGCACAATTTCTGGATGCGACGTGTGAATGATAAATGTTTTGGTTTCCCTGCTGCGCTATGGGAGGCAACGTCGTTGTTTTCGAAAACTTTTTCCCCACCACGAGATAACTTTCTTTGACGCGTTGCAAGAGTAATTTCGGGCCGGATATTAAAAAAAAAAATTATCACGGACGAAAAGACGCTCGAATCGAAAAGTCGGACGTAAAATTAACGGCGCCGCCAATTTTAGAGGGATTAAACGAAAGACCACTCGAACAAACGCGAAGTTGTCATTTCGAAGCTTGATTAAGTGCATCGATTATAGTTTGAAATTCACCTTTGATGTAGACTGGAGAATAGAGGACTAGAAGAGTGAATTGGCGAATTAATTGAAATTCTTTGGTGCAATATCAATTACTTGATACCGATTCGATTCGAATCTAGGTCAATCCACTTTGTAAATGGTTTTAAATGTATTTTAAATATTATAATATACGAGCGAAGGAACTCGTTCACTTTTACTCGTAAAGTTGTATCAACTTTTCCTTTCTTCTTTTTCTTTCTACGTTTTTGTTTTTCAGGCGGAGGAGTTAAACACCATTGTCGGCAATGCTTTTCGTATGGCATACGTGGCGCAGCTTCAGCGCCAACCGATCCTTCAAGATGTGATCTCACCGCAATCATCGCCACCCTACCGAAAGGACAAACAAGAGAATCGATCTTCGTGGGTATGTAAATTTCTGTATCTCGTATCGCGCGATTTCGCTTTCTCTTAATTTTCATTCTATCGATAACGTACACAGAGAAATCGTTCTGCCTTCTGTAAATTCTAATACCGCGTGAACGTTTAATTTAAAAAAAAAAAAAACAGGAATCTCTACGAGCAAAAAATTTCGTTAAAATTAACAATGGAAAAGATAGAAACGATAGATAGAAAAATCGATGAATGTGATGTTTAACGATTAACACAAAGATTGTGTGTTTTTTTGACACATCGAGTCAAGTGCAAGGAAAAATAAAGTAGAGAGGCGACATATAACGCGGTCTCATGAGAGCATCAGTCTCCAGTAGAGGTGTCCCATTTACAGGCCGCGTTAATTATAAATTCGAGCCAAGTCTCTCGGCTCCATCGTGTTTCCACGTAAACGGTCAGTTCGTCGCGGTCTTTCCTCTCGTTCTCCCCACGCAATCGTCCTGGGAATCGTAAGATTCTGCCGATAAACTATTCATCGTTTACCGCCAAATTCAAGCTTCCGTAAGAGCGATACCTGTGTCAAAATTGGCGAATAAAACTCGAAAACTGGCCGCCGATATATCCGACATTTACCGTCTAACAGGTTAAACATTCAGCATGATTCCCCGCCGTTTTATTTCCTCGTATTTTCTTCCACGTTGCTTACGTTACCCGTTTCCTCAAGCTATTTTCGAAAACGTTTATACAATTGTCGAATAAAGTTTAGTCGAATCACAAAATGACAAATGTTATTTAACTTTAACGTAGAAATATTTTTATCGCTTCAAATTTATTTATCCAAATTTTTAAAATTCTAATTTTACTCTTACGTATGATTAAATATTTACTTTGACGAGTTTATATAACTTTACATCGCTAAACAGTATACAATTTTATACTTTTTATCTTTAAACGGCTATTCTCTATCTTGTAATCGAAGGTCAGTTCCACAGGAATTTCTCACAATTTAGTTGCATTATTTTTCCTTTTTTCCGCAGAACAAATCGCTGGCTGGCGACAGCTCGATCGCCGGCGCGGGAGGTGTTTGCAGGAATTCGTCTTCGAATTCGTGGCTAAAAAGTCGGACGTCGCCCACGTCCAGAACTGGAAGCGGCTCGTCTGCGGCGGACATGAACGTACAGCTCGGCAGCGCAGGCTCGCCCACGCTGCGACTCGCTAGCGTGAAGGTGAGCTCACGCCTTCTCTTCCCCGAGTATACATATTTTCGCTCAATGGCTTTTTCAACGAAACGAGCGACGTTATTTCACGCCGTTATTCGCCACGCTGTTCTCGAGCCAGCCTCGAGAATAGAAACGTTGTCGTTGAACAGATTGAATGGCGGTCGTATCACGCGCGAGAATTAAATAATACAATCTTGCCTAATTTCGAGATTTAATTCCTTTGATGATGTAACAGAAACAGATTTGGAACGAGCAGATTACAAAATAATTGTTCGTTTATCAGAATGAAGATTTTTTTTTTCAAAATTGAATTGTTATTCGCTGTTTCTAAATTATGATTCAATGACTTCATCTTTGGAAAAATCGAGTTTAATGCTGTACGATTGCAAATAGTGACAAACCCTGGTGTACAACTCTTTTTATAGAATGTGCAATCTTATCTTATCGACGAGGTAAAACAAATATTAAGCAAGAAAATAAATATTTAACCTAGACTAAACGTTTGAACCAAGAGACTGGATACATTAAAATTCATCGAGATCTTATTTGAAAGTTGAACTCGCGTATTTGTTACATCTTCGAAATAAATTTCCTCGGGAGGACAAAATTTCGTTATCAACGAACATAATTGTAAATTACCTCGATGATTACTCTCGACGAAACAAAGAACGTTAATCACAAGTTACTGTAACCAAGTTCTAGATAACGAAAAAGATTAAAGGAAATCGAATCCGCGTTTACACTCGCGTTTCTCTCGTTCTCCGAGAAATGTCTTCGAACGTCGTGGTTAAGTTGTACGTATCATGGAGACTCATCAACCATTTCTTCCATCGAATCAGACACCGAACTCGATCCCGGGTCTACGGCCGACGCACAACTTCACCAACGTTCTCGGCCCAATAACGAACGAGGATGAGCCAAAGAGTATCTCTCAGCAGAGCACACCGAGCAGCGATGAGAGCAACTCACCGACGGAGCTAAATTCGTACAAGAGACTAACGGACAAGCCGCCTCTGATAAAGCGGCTGGCGATGGGTTTGACAGGTGGACGTGACGTTCTTGGGTTGAACGGTGAGGATGACAGCTGCCCCCTCGTCAGTGGTAGCAGCACACCGACGAGCCCGTCAAACAGGCCGCATTCTGGGGGTTATATAAACGAGGCGATCATCGAGTCCGAGGGCACGAGGCCGGCTTACAACAAGATACCCCCATCTGAGAGTCTGGACAATACCATCAACGCCTCCATCACTGCGAAAAATTTCAACATTGAAAACAACAGGTAATAACTTGCGAAAAAAATATGAATAATTATGATCCTGTTATGATAGATCTTTCAATGGAAGTGTTGTGACCACCACAGATATAGATATTGAAAAATTTTCATTTCAAATGTGAATAGTTTATCTTTGGAAAAAGGATATTGATTATAATTATACGAAACTTACAGGATAGGACATAATTCTCCCAGCTCTGGTACGGAAACAGAATTCAAATCGAAGAGAAGATCTCAGATCAGTACCTCGAGCAGTTCAGTACCCGCTGATGGAAGTACACATGGTTCCACACCGACCCCACCACCTCTTCCTGAAAGAACGGATAGCCTTAATAACCGCAGTGAAGAAGCTGAACTACGAAAAGCTCCCTGGTTTCAAGCTGGAATACCAAGGTTTCTGATCATTACATTTCAAAAATTGCTAATTCAATGTGTTATAATGATTGATGTAAGCTTATAACATGTAACTCTTTTAAAACCATGAAGCTTTTTACTCATTGATATTTATTAAATGTAAATATCCAATTATTATTATCGTTCATTAAAATGCATAAAAATATATATGTATAATGGAAGTAGTAGAATAATAATCTGCATCTGAGTATAGTTATTTTCACTGCTTTTATACAAATTTATACAAATTTGCATTTTCACAGTGTCATGGTCATTTATGATTCCAGGGAAATAACGCTAGAAGTGTTGAGTCAGGAGCCGGAAGGAGCCTTCATGGTGCGAGAGAGTACCAGTAAACCCGGATGTTATGCCCTTTCGCTTCGAGTGCCGCGCGAATTCCAACCAAGCGGAATAGCCCATTATCTCATAATGCGTACGAACAAAGGCTACAAAATCAAGGTAAATCTCTTCTCGGGATGGCCTTTCTTGTGAAAGTCTTTAACCGTCTACGAAACGTCTGCGCTTAAATAGAGTAATTAACACTTTCGCCCTGACAACGTAAATTCATTTTCTACTATTACAATTCATTTCAATGCTATTACTCAAGGCAGACAGAGAAACTAATAATTGAATAATTTGTATAAAACAAAAATAATTAAAACATATTGTTGTGTAAAGTACATTACAAATGATACATCAAGAATTGTGCAAGTTAATATTTTTGTGAAACACTTTCGAAAGATCAATCATCAGAGATCAAACAGAAAAATTAATATATAAAAATGTCGATTGAAACTTAATCAGATAAATTAATATTAATGCAAAATTTAATTGCATAACTTAATAAATAAATAAGTTTCAATTATATAATTTTATATATCAATTTTTGTTTTTATTCTGATTTATCTTTTCAAAGGTATCTTTATAGATAAATATATCATAATTTTATTTATATCAAGTGTACATTAGGTAAAAAAATTCTTTCGAGATCTATACAATCTTTTAAAATAAAATATTTTTTCTTTTTTTTTCATGTTAACTATGAATGAAACGAACATACATTGGCAAAGAAAACCGAGCTGCTTTGTACCCAGATGTTAATCACCGCAGAGTAATATCGCGTTTGGACCGATGTTTTCAGTTCAGAAATATTATAATAGAGACATTGTGCAAGTACAAAGCTACTCCGGTTGCGTATTCTGCCATTTCGGTACGCGTATTTAAATGTCCGGATTTCCCTTGTAGGATAAATTAAATGGGTCCGTGGACTTTGATAATCTCCGAAACGAGTATAAATGAGTTTTGTTGGATGTACCGCAGGGAAATCAAAATTCCCCACTACTCTTTCATCTAGAATTGCATTGCCGTGGCAACACGCGATGAGATTCGAACATGTACAGTACATGATAATTTTGATATATTGTATATATGTATATGATGTTTGTTACTAGTTTGCTTCGTTTCTAAATTATTTATTACATAAAATCGAACATATCGATTTTAATATAAAATCGATATATTTTCAATAATTAATTTTACATTATTCATTTGATGTGACAATGAAATTTGCATTTTTTGAAGTTTTTAACATATAGCAATCGTAATACAATACCACTATATTTCAACAAAAATTATATTACTATTTCATTTTTATCGAAAAAATTAGTTAATTATTAAACAAAAACTAATTAAAACTTTGTAGCATTTCACGATAAAATTAAAATTTTTAATGGATCGAATGCAAATAGTAATTATATTATTTTATTTGTTCCAGGGCTTTACAAAGGAATTCACGACACTGACTGCTCTAATTACTCACCATTCAGTGATGCCAGAATTATTGCCATGTCCTTTGTCATTAAGTCGATACAATCCAAGCTTTGTGAAAAGCGATTCCAACAAAGACTTCGCGGACATCGATTCGGATCCTGATTACAATACCTTAGCCGACTTTCGCAAAATGATGGCTGACCTGAACGTCTAGAATAAAGCTCTCGTAATCAGAACGATCTGGAAAAAATCGATACTTTCACCGATTCTTCGAACCGAACAGTTAAAGCTGAATTCGTTTCCGAGAGACTACGAGAAACTGAAAAATGTGCTTTTATAAAATTCTACACGAGATCGTTTGAAGGAGTTCGTAAAATCATCGAAATGTATTTTCACTGAACTCGATTTTCGATTGGTCGATCGGTCGTGTTTGTCGATGAATAGAGAGAATTATTGATGATACGATTGATCGATTATTCGTTACAACGATTCACCGCATGCTCGAGAATAAAAAATGTCGTACGCTCGAATAAAATTCAGCACGTTCTCGCGGTGATAAATATTTATAAGTCATCAATAGTGATAGAGAATATAATATAAGTAATTTAACGATCGCCACTATTCGTGAAAATAACAGCGAATCAAAAGTCGGAGGACGCACAGCAGGGAAAAACTGATTCTTTATTTTGTAGATTTCATTCCCGATGTTTTTCGTTCGATGAACGAAGCTCGATTAATGGATTTTGGATTGAATTATTAACAAGCGTCTATTTGTATTAATATATATTGACGCCGACTCTGCGATAAAAAATTTCGAAGAACGATTAATTTGCAGGATTTTTGACAAACTAGCTTATTGTAGCATTTAGATCGAATAAAAATTATCAGAAAAAATGAGATAAATATTTTTTAATGTTACTGTGAATGTCTTTTGAATGATTTTTTGTTTCGGACAAAACTGTGTGAAATTGTGTGTGAAATTCTATAGTGTTCAGTTTATAAATCAAAGATTATTTGACAGTATTGCATTATCCGACGATCATTTAATAAATAAACAGAACAAAAGATATTAATAGAAAGATTAATCAATTAAACAATTATAAGAGCAATGTTATTATTAATAACAATATTAAATCGATATAATTTTCAATGAGTTGAATATGGCGATTATACAACGAGATCTTTTTAATTTTCGATTAATTAAAAAAAAGTTTTAAAATCCTTGAGATTTTGCTATTAAAATTTCACACGACTAAATGTTTTACAAAAGTAATGTAAATGTGTTTATATGTATATAAATTATAATTATTGTTATACAATACTATTCATATTTAATTAAATAACATGGACGGCAGCGTTAGAAGGAATAGACCTTTGAAACAGTGACGATACAAAGCGTAGAATATATATTACCATGGAATTTTAAAGCCGATGGAAAACATATTACACTGGTAATTTAATTGCTCGACTAACCTAGTCTTGTACAGAATTTATGCGCGCATAGTGGATGTTAAAAAGAAGAGAAGAAGAATAAATATATAATCTTACGTATGTGTTAACCGACATAAAAGATCAAAACCGAAAACTATGTGCCGCTTTTTATACGCCCAAGAATATAAAATTTTAAGAAAATATTTCAATAAAATTCCTACTTTTCAATTTTTTCAATATACAAAATGATAAAAAAAATCGATTAAGATCTAGAATAAAATCTAGAAAACTATCATCGAATCCACCGAATAATATGAATATGAATATAATATTATAAGATTTTATAAACGGCAGGTCATCGTTGATTTATTCTACAAAATAATGCGTATAAGAGACATGATAAAAAATAATAAAATAGTATTTTACTAAGGAGTTTATCTGCAATCAAATATCTGGTATTAAATTAAATACAATATTCCTTCCTATCATGCTATATATTTACGTATAAAATCGATAAATGTTTCTTATATTCGTTTATTTAAACCGAAAATATAAGATTTATAATGCGGACCTGAAAATATAACATAAACAAAAAATACGAAGACTAAAATCACATATTGTCATTCTTGACTAAAATATGAGACAAAACTTCAGCATGATTTTTAGCTAGTTTACGAACGTTCATTGTACTTCAAACATCGAGTACATGATGATCTTCGTATTGCCAAATTCAGAAATATTTGCTAAAATAAATGCGCAATGAAAATGAAAAAAATTAATAAATCATTGTAAGCTACGCTAAGCAAGACATTAATCACTGCTTGAAGTTTGTAACGTTTTACGAATTATTATATAGCAATGCGTTGTATAATTTCAATAAAATTATTATTACAATAAATATTGAACAAAAAAATAATATAATTCAATCATGTGTGTCCAATTTATATCCATAATTATATTTTTCATTGTTAAAAATATTACAGTACATAAAATTTTAAATTATATTTCTTGTTGTGCAACGTGTCTTTTTCTTTCCGGAATGAAAGGTACAGTTCCTGGTTTAGAATGAGCACGTCTATTAGACTCCCTAAAATAAAATAAGTAAATATAGTAAAAATATTTTGAGAAAAAATATACATAATTCAAACATTTATAATTTTTTTTTTTAATGATATATATACTTTCGTTTAGTCTTCTCTCGAATTGTACGTAATTCATTCTTTGCATTGTAAATATGTTTTGGAATCTGTCTATGTCGGGCAATTCGCTTCACTTGAGGATGTGCAGCAAACTTTTCTTTCAAAGCTTCACTGTAATTTAATGCTGCCTTTTCTCTAGGTTTTAACTGTAATTATTTATTTTATTAAATTATTATTTTAATATGTAAAATAAAATAAAAAATCAAAAAATACAAAACATACCACACCCAATTTTTCTGACGCCCTTGCTTTCCAAACACGAATATTCATTTCATCACTTCCGCTAATAATATACTTGTTATCAAGAGACCATCCCATGCATGTTAATCTTTGCATACGTTTTGTATGGTAAACTTCTCGAGAATGACCTTTATTATTTCAAAAATACGAATAGATTTATCATAACTACCAGATACGAATTCTTTACCAGTTGGTGAATAATCAACATCAATTACAGCTTCTACATGGTCCATATGTACATTTACTGGTGTTTTCAACTTACGAATATCATAAGTATATAAACTAGATTAAAAAATAGAATATCATAATTAATATATTTCTTAGTTTTCATATTTCAATTTAAATAATACAAGAAAATATTTTTTTTTTTTGAATTTACTTGTAATCTTCATTAGCACATGTGAAAGTAATAGCTTCCATAGGATTCCAAGCCAATCTATTAGTTCTTAATCTCATAAAAACTTTTCTCAAAGGACCTGTTTCTCTGGCATCATATAAAATTATACTACGATCACTTCCACAAGCAGCTATAATAATTATACAATTTTAGTTATGATCTTATAAAATTAAAATACAATCATTTATACTTAATCATTAATAATTAACTTTATAATACAATAATTATTCTTACCAAATAAATTGGTTTGGACAGGATTATATTTAATATCGTATAAAGTATCAATACCCCATTTTAATGTACGAATTGGTTCATTACGAGTTTCTTCCCATAAATGGCATACTTCACCACAAGTTGCAAATATTGGTTGGGTGCGATGATGAGAGATTCCAGTTATTACAGTCTACAAAATGTCCATAATTTTTAAACTAATATAAAACAATAAATTTACTAATATTTAATATCTTACTTTACTAATAATTGTATTTATAGGTTCTTCTTCTTCACCAAATGATGTTTTTTGTGACTTCCATGTTTTAATAGTTTTATCATCACCAACAGTAATAAACTGTTCACCAGTTGCATTAAACACAATTCCTCTTATAATACCATCATGGGCCAAAAAACTATGTATACATTTTCTTTGTGTAAGATTCCATATTCTTATTTCACCATCAAAAGCTCCACTAAGTATAGTAGACAAATGGAAAGGATGCTTACACATACTAGACACTCCATCTTTATGGCCTTCCAAACATCCTACAAAAGGTTTTGCAAATACTCTTTCTAATTTTACTGAATTTAAAGCCCTAGTATATTCTCTTGCTGCTTCAAAAGGATGTAATGCTGGATCATAATTCCTAGGTACTATAAATAATGAACAAAATTAATTATCATAACTGTATATAATAAAATATATAATAAAATATATACATATATGAGTTATAACAAAAACTTAATTTATTATTATTTTTCATTAATACTAACCTTTATATATGTCACGTTTTGTTTCTCTTAAGTATTCATCAGGATTTCTTGTTAGAATTTTCACCTTCATTTTGTAAATTTATTAATTAAATAAAATTTTTAAAGCATATTTTTTTTCTCACAATGTGTCACAAGTGAAGTAAACACGTGTATATCTACATATAGAAAATAAAACATAAATATGTATACATTTTTAAATATTCAATACTTATCATTAAAGAAATATTGAAACTTATAATATTTTATATATTATATAAAGACTAAATCAGATATTGCAATATTATTTTTCGTGGACAAATATTAAATTTTTAAATTTAGAGCAAATATAAACGAATAAATAGAAAAAAAGGAACACATACAAGATAAAAATCCACCATTTTTAGTATGCCAATGAAATTTATAAAGAAAGAATAGCAAATAGTATGAAAATGATATAGAATCAGAATTGACCGCGCCATCTTTTGAGTGCTAAAGATATTTCTTTTAAGAAAGGATAAAATAAAATAAGAATTAACTTTTAGTGCCATTTCTTAAAACATATTTTTCTAAAAGTATTTTAGAGATAGTGCTGATTCTCGATTCTTGATTTATTTTATCTCTTCTTAGAAGAGATATTATTGGCGTTTAAAAGATGGTGTAGACAATCAATTTTTACTTTATTTTTATCTTTTTTGTACTATTTTTTATTCTTCTTTTATATGTTTCATTTGCGATATTTTAGAAATGATTGATAGTTTTTATCCTATTACTATGTTTTTCCCACTATTTGCTTTCTTTATCTATTTGATATCTAACTGTAAATGATATATAAAATACTTATTAAAGTTCATTACTTATTATAAAGTTCATTTCATGACATTCTTTTTGTTGATTTAATCTTTCTTATCTTAAAAATTATATTTTCAGATTTATAATGTATTTCTTAAATAATGATTTTTAATTTAAAATAATAATTTAAAATAATATATTCTGATATATGATATGAATGTTTCTTGACTCGAACAATATGTTCAACAATGATGTAAAACAAAAAAAACTCGATTCGACAAAGAAAATAGGAACAAATGTTAAAGTATTTTATCGAAAAAGGAGGATTAGAAAGTTCTTCTTAAAAGGAGATTCTTTTATTTATTCTATTTCTTATTTATAATTTTATAGTTTCAATTCTAATCAATACAATGTTACAATCTTATTCTAAATCGAATCGGTAATGTTGAGAATGACTTTAAAATGATAAAAGAATCTTTGTATCATCGAGGATATCGTGTGCTCTAGGATAAAAAAAATCCATTAAACGTAAGGTATATTCTGTACTTCATCTGTGACATTATGTTAGTAGTACGTAATACGTGACTTGGATAACGTGTGATTGTAAAAAATAATAAGTTTGTCAGTACAGTATAAATTACAAGTAAGTAATCAATTTTTATAATAATAATAAATTTAACAAATATATGAACTATTATATTGAAATTGGTTATTACATAAAACGGGAGAATAGAGATATTTAATTGATTAATTTGATAATTTTATTATATTAAACTAAATCAAAATATTTTAAAATATAGTCATTGTATTATGAAGTACAATTTATTTATAGACATATAACATATAAAAATCATGAATACATAATATAAAATTTTGATCTTAATTATTAATATCATATATTTATTATACAATTATTACAAAAATATCTATAATAATTATTGTTAATATTAAGTAATATTTTATTAAGTAATATAACTTTAATATAACTTATAAAGATTTTTATTATATATAGAATGTTTTGCACAAGATTGATAAGGCAGTTTAAATGTTTTAAAATAAGACAACTACATACAACATTTGTTAAAAATGAAAATAAACCTGTTACTGAAACACCTAAAGCCAAAACTGAAACACCTAAAGCTGCTAATATATCACAGGCTGAAAAGGAGGCAATTGAATTTGTATCAGGTAAAATATATTTTTAGAATGTTTTTGATTTTAATGAAAATATGTAAAAAAAAAAAAAAATTATATTTTAGGAGAGACTTTACATACTTTGTCTAACCTTGATAAAAGAATATTAGTTTGGGTTAAACGTTTTCCTAGTATGGATCAAGTTCCAAAACAAGTAAGGTAAGTAAAAATATAAATATTCTTATATGTAATATTAAATTTAAATGCATGTACTTATATTTATATACAAATGTATAATATAAGTTATTATATTTTCTAAAGAAATATGAAAAAGTTATCTTAAAACTATATCTATTAAATTTTTTTTATTCTTGTTATTCAGTATAAGAACTATACAGCTAGCTCATACTAAAGCCAGAATTAAAGTATGTTTTTACATGATGGCTTTTGCAATAATTGGATCTATTCTAGCTGTAATAAGTGGTAAAAGAGATGTTGCTGCTGGAAAAAATATAATAACAGAAAGACAAAAATGGTATGATAAAGTAAAAGAACAAGCACGAAAAGAAGCTGAAATGGCTGAAAAAAAAGAAAAATAATATTTTAATTTCTTTTAATAACATTTAAATTATTTAAATTTTATTTAAATATTTTAAATATTTTTTTGATTAACTTTTTTTCCATGTCGTTATATTTCATTAGAATTATTTAATCATTGAAGTCATTATTTTGTGTAATCCGAGATTATTACAAGTAATAATTTCTAGTTATAATAGTATTATATCTTTATAAAATATTATTTTTATAAGAGATATTATTTATATTATTTGTAAATAAGCATTATTACATCTTATCTTAATAAATCAAAAAATTTATTTTTATAACATATTAATTTTATTAATAGATTAATTTTCAAATTAACAAAAAAAATATAAAAAAAAAATCAATGTAAGAATATGATAATAAATAAAATAAAAATGCCTAAAAATTCTTTTTATTGTTTCCTATATAAATTTTCTGCACAAAAATTGAAAATATTACAAAAAACAAACAAAATTGTAATTATAATTATGGGAATTGAAAATTTCTATAGTTTATTATACAAATGCGATAGCTAAACACATTTAAAATTAACATTTTAATATATATTTGTAGTTAACTTTACAATCATATAAAAAATTGATGTTTTTAAAATATTTTTAAAAAGGTAACAACAAATTTAAATTTCTAAATTTGGTGGTTTATAAAAGACACGACATTTATTGTAATAAACATCAATTGTATGTTCCTTTACAACTTCTTCTATATTCAATTCTGATTGTAATAGACGGACAGTGTTCTGTTCTTTTCTTAATGCTTTAAGAAGTTGTGGACTCTCATTACCATTATCTCTTTCAGTCTTTAATTGTTTCACTTTTTCTTTTGATGCATTTAGACACCTTGTAATAGCTAATTCTCTTGTTTTATGGCCTGATTGAATTTGTTCATATAAATCTTTGCATTTTACAGTAGGATCAACTTGTCCTTTAAACGATTCCGTTGGAAGTATGGTATTTAGCATGTAAATAATTTTGTCATCAAGTTGTCGCATTTTTTTTAATGCATCCTGGAACAAAAACATTTTTAAAAATTTTTTTGTGTGTATAATGCATGTAAATAATTATTATAGATTCATTAGTGTATATGTATATTATATTTAATTTATATTAAAATTTTGAAATCTCTATTATAAATTATGTATTGAATATATCTTTTATTTCATCTTTAGTTTCATTTTAGTATTTGTAAAATTTTGCATATCATTTATCACATGAAATATTATAAAAAGTAATATATAACCTTAAATATGTTTGTAATGAATTATAACTTTATAGAAATTTATAGCTTAATACATATGTTGAATGTAATCGAAACAATTGAACTATATAATTTGAAATATATCATATTTTATAATACTTTCATTTACTATAAAAATACCTGAAACTCTAAAAAATCTCCACATCCTACACTCACGGTTGCCATTTTTATAAAATGGAGATCAAGTATTCAACTACGATAGGAAGTATCGTGATTAAATTATTGCATAATATTATTATCTTTTATTATTGTTACTACTGTAATTAATGATTTAATTTTATTTAATTACATTAAATAACATTTATGGAAATTTTTTTAGATTATATATTTTTATTATATTACTCATATGTAGATAGATATAACTATTTAAACTAAAATATTTATAAATTAAAATAAACAAATAAATTAAATTAATTAAGAAACAACAATTGTGTTTAGATTTTAATAAATTAAATAATGATAATGTTTTTTTTAAATAAAATTTAAATATTAAATAAAATAAATATCTTTGTATTTGAATTCAATAATTGTTTATAATAATGAAGAATTTAAATTGAAATAAATTTGTAAAATTTATAATATTATTTTTTAACAATATATAATATTTTTCGAATAATTATTCACATATATTGCAGTTAATAATTTATTAATACTTTTACACGTGTTATTTTTTAAAATGGTTAGAAAATATAATTCATATAAATTTATATAAAAATAATATTATAAAAAAATAAAATACACAAAAATAGTATAGTATATTATATATAAAATATTTTTAAATGTACGAATATTCGTAAATAATCTTTAAATGTAATTACAAATGATAAACATAAACATAATAAAATGTGTTAAACAAGTGTTACAAACATTATAATTTATTATTTTCCATTAATTTTATTTAGAAAATTTTTTCTCATTTTTGATGTATTATATTTTTATGGAAAATCCTAATTTATGTAAATCTTTTATCATTGATGATACAGTTTCTGTAGACAAAGATTCTAAAGGTGCACGCGGAGGACCAGGATTAATGTCTGTTAACAAACTCATTGCTACTTTCATAGTTGATACCCAATTTCCTGTAATATAATTGTAATTTTTGTATATAAAATTTTCTTTTTAAGTTAAAATATATAATATTATATATTATAAAGATTCATTCAATATAAAAAATTTATGAAGTTCAATTGATTGATCATCACGTTTATCAAATTTTTTTACTTACTTACCATATTTTGATATAGCGAGAACAACATTCGTCAAACGTTGTTGCGTGTCTCTTGCTTTCATAACATTTCCTGCAAGTCCTTCTCTAAGAGAATCGATCATAAATTCAGGAAGCATATTTGAGCTTGTTGTTATAAACGAATCTATTCCTACTGCACAGCCAGCATTTACTAACTAAAACAAATGAATAACATTTACATTAAATTTATCGTCGTATTCTTAATACGATATTTCCTTGAAAATAAATAATGCATACCTGATCGTTACCAAGGAATACGACATATTTCTTGTTATTAGCACGAAATGCTTGAGTACCTTCATCTAAATCAGAACTGGTGAATTTTATCCCGACGAATGTTGAAATCTCGTCATTCAGAGATTCGAGGAATTGTCCCATGTGTACTAAAAAAAATTCCAATGCGTTTTTAGACGTGTTACATTTTACATATAGATTTAAAACAATTGTAATTATTAACTTACTATTAACATTAGTCATTCTTGGAAAGTGATAATATAAAAGTGGCGTGTTTGGAGCTGCCTCACTAATTAATTTCAAATAATTTTTTAATTGTTCCATTGTTGTTGGTTTAAAGTACAAATCGGGTAGACAGAGAATAGAATCTGCTTTGATGCTTTCAGCATGTTTTGCCTTTGAATTAATATTTTTATAAATAAAAAATGTATATTACATTTTCATAATTAATAAATCAAATTTGAAATTAAGAAAATATTATATTCTTAAAGTGAAATTGTATGTAATATTTCATTCATAAATTATTTACGTACAAGTTCGAGAACATCGGGAAGAGATGCACCTCCTACTTGAATCATCAAATGTTGTTTCGTTATTTTTACAGCATTTGCCCAAGCCTCGGCAACTAATTTTCTTTCAATTAAAGACATGGATGGACCTTCTCCGCTCGTTCCATTTACTATCAATTATAAATTATAATTTATAAAATTATAATATTAATAATTATAATAATAATTTGTAATATTATATATTATATTATATATATAATATTTATCAAAGTGTATATTTATATTTTTTAAATTAATTTTTATTAAATTTTTAGCTGGTTATATAGATTTTACCGAGAACACCATCGATTTTCTTTTTTGCTAAGAAATTGGCGTATTGTGGTATGATAGACAAGTTTAGACTCCTCGAGCTAAAATATGACGATAAGATAGAATAAAATGTTATTTGTATCTCTGTATCGTATAACATTAAGAAAATTACCTGTCATTATTAAATGGTGTCAATATTGGAGCGATTATTCCCCTGAACGTGAACGATACTTTCTATGAATAAAAATAAGGAAATGTTTTCACTCTTTTTTAAATATTGAGAATTTAATATTAAAATATCCGTAGATATTCTATTGATCGAAACATTGTGAAATATTGGATTAAAGAAGTGATCGTTTTTTGTACGTGTATATTACGTAGTTTTTCAAAGTAATTTATGCAACTATTTGATACAATTGATTTATAATTTATTTATGAATTATAATATATTTATACGTACCGACATTGTGCAATGTGAAATGAATTTTAAGAACGTCAATTAAAATATTAATACGAAACCGAACGAAGAGGAATATTTAAACTTTGGCTTTGATAAGATTGTCTCAGCTTAGTATCAAATATCACGCGTTACATGTTTACTGATATGATATTTTTTTTCGTAATAATACTAATAATAGGCGCATAAGTTTCCCTACACTTTTATAATTATTTTACTTCGGCGTATCCAACGACAAACTATTTTATTAAACTTTACAAACTTTAAAATAATGTTTTTATAAAAAGAAAAAACATGAATATAAATTATAATATGTATTATCTTTTCTAAACATGCATTTATTTGTTACGCTATAATTTTTTCGGACATGCGAATTTTTACGATCGTTTTATTTTTTTTGGTAACAAAGGGTCGAGTTTGATATATCGAACAACAATGATTATTTATAAAAATGCTTTTTATGTTTATTTACATGTAGATTTTCTTTTTCTTTTAACAATGCCAATGATATATTAACACAGTATCGTAGTGATAAATTATACGTAAGTTTCAAGATGGCCGCATGCGTTTTCCTTTTTATGGATATAACGAGTATCATTATTCCTCGAGAAACGAGAACGAAGACTATTCCCAAGTTTACGTAATAACGCCAAAGAGAATTACTATATAATGTATACTTTCTACGATCTTTTTTCAAATTCTTATTATTTCTTTCTCTTTTTTTTTCCCCCCTCTAAAATTTACTTATCACTTAAATATAACGAAATTCATGCTACGACGTATTGGCGCATATTAGTAAAAGAATTGTTCTTTTTTCATCGATACGTTTATTTTTCGTCTACCTTTCGTATTTTCTCGATATTCACGCAATATACTGGATATGATGTTACGATGATAACTACTTATAATAACGTATTAGACTCGCCATACCGATTTTTCTTTTCATCATAGACAATGATTCTCGTTTATATTCTAAAAGAGAAATTTGTTTAACTGTAACTTCTTCCCATTCTAGCATTGATTTATTATTAATGTAATATACGATTTCTTTTTTGATCGCTCGTCTAAGTAGTATCTCGTCATTAATTATTTTCTCATTAATCGATCGATGAGGAGGAACTAAAAATGTATACAAGAGGATCGATTAATAAAAAACTTATAATTACAGGAAGTAAAAATGTAAGTAACGTAATTGGTATAAATATTTAAATATCACTGGGTAGGAATTAAAAGTAATTTAAGATATAGATTAATTCGAATTATAAAGAATTTAAATTTTTAGAAATTTATAAAATGTGGAAAAAATTTCTGGATTTATTCAAATATTTAATTTGACGATTTAAATGTAGGTAAAGGAAAACTTATTTGTAACTTAACTTGTATTAAAATTTTAATGAAAAATATATTTGTAAATTTAAATGTTTCACATTCCAAAAACTTAACTATTGAACGAAAACGTGTTTGAGAAGAGTCGTTAGATTTATTATTTATACCCTAAATTTGTGGCACAAGATATTAAAGCATTATGTTCAATTACAATTTCAAATATCGACATGTCTTCGTGAGATGGTTATGATCTATAATTGCTTCATAAATGTATTTATTACCAAATGCAGTGTTAATAATAGTTATGCGTTACAGTGTTAAGTTGTGACGTAACCAGAATGTTTAGTACCTAGAAAAAATGCTTCTTCTATTGGACGTATTATCGAGTATAGTTTTATAGAGATACATATATATATGTTTTTTAATAGTCTACAAAAATATAAATTAAATTATATTATTATACACAATTGAAAATATATACACGGTATATGTATGCGTATATTTATGTACATATGAGAAGAAAGTAATAAATAAGAAATTTAATAAAAATTTTCATATGTATATTCTTTATGTTTATTTAAGGAAAGCATAATTCGTCATCGTTTTGAATTTGCTCAATTTGGCACATAATTTGCAATACGATATTAAAAATACATATAAACGAAGATTGTACATATTAACAGTTTAAAATGTATTATACATATTAACAGTAAAACACAGTGAAATGAAATAAATTATAAGCAACGCATAAATTGATCGTTACTTTTAAAAAAAAAAAAAGGAAATAATATAACACAATTGGATCTTGGATCGCAATTATCCACGGTGTCGATTAACTGTAAGTCGATGAACTAGATCAACACTCAATCTGTTTGTCGTAAAGAAAGATATTTCTCGTGAACATGAAATAAAAGGATATTTAGCAGGAACGATTACTTTTTAACTCTACTTCGAAGTCACTTCTTCCAGCTGGTTACGTTACTACTATTCGGCGAAGATTCGAACAAATCAATTAATTATTTAATGTCTTGTACACGCGATCAATATCAGCAGTCGCAATGACCTAATTTACTAACAATGCACCAAAAAGCCGTCGATGAGAATGCAGTGAAAACGACCCACATTCTATAATGTATATATACGTATG